TCCAGCGTGTGCGGGGCTTGTGTCAGCTCACAGAAGAGTGTTCGATTGCCGTACGTAACTCGACTTCGGAAGAAACTAGCTCGTGTGAAGCTGATGAATTGACTGAGTTGCGCATGCCAGCTGGGACCTCAAATGCTCCCTCCATCTCAAGAGGTTATTTGGCTCAACCCTTGCCTGCCGGAACCTGTGCCGGCATCACTTCGCTCATCATGCAGCGTGGCTACATCCCCACCTGGAAAACCAAGGTGGTGCATACGTTTCTGGAGTTTGAAGAGGAAGAGGAGGGAAAGCAGGGCCGTCGCAGTGTCTCCGTGCCGCCGAGAGTGTGCCAGCACCACTCCGAGACGGAGCTGCCGGAGGAAGTGAGACCTTACAAGTAAGGCTTTCATGTTGGCTTTTTGTTCCAGTTTGGGTTTGGTTGGGTTTCCACCTCGTACTTGAGTGTCTCGAGGTGTAGTGCCCCGATGCCTTATACTGATACTGGGCTGTGAGTTTTCTAGCGATCTCGGTTCTTGTTGATGATCTGATGAGATTAGCCCTCTTCTTGCTTTTTAGCTGTGCTAACTGCGGGCCATGAACCTCATCTGGCGAGTCCAAGTGTGAGAGCGTAGCTTCAGGAGAAGCTGCCCGAGGTGCAGTTGCCGAATGCGCCTGTGGCTCCGTCACCCCTTAATCCACATGCTGCCCCATTCACCGGCGTCAGCGGTGAGCCGCAATTCGGCACGGAGTCCGGGGTGTACTTCCCTTTTCAAGAGTACACCGTGGAGGAATGGCTGTTTTGGATCTACCACCTGCAAACGAACCGCGTCCTCTTGACGCCAGAGTATGCAGCTTACATTTGTGAGGTTGCACGGCTCCTTGGCATACCAAGCACAGAGCACGAAGAACCGCAAAACGTCCACATTTACCACATGGAGAGACCAGGATCTTACTTGGTCAAATGGTACGTGGACTCTCGCAAGCTTCGGAGCAACGACAAGCAGGTCATCTCACCGGGGTTTGACTTGTACCACCCTGGTACTGGCCAGCTCCTTAGGTTTTTAATCGGAGCATTCCCCCCAAATTGGGGTAAGGAAAATCCCGATGCTAACTTTAAGAAGTCCGACGGAAGAGGCATGTTCCAGTTGAAGTGCGACACCCCACCCAAAGACCACGGTTGTTTGCCATGCCGGTTTGGGTTCTCAGTTTCAAACGGGGAGATGCGCACGGCCTCTGGCCAATTCACTTTGAGTAACTGTGTGGTGGACTTGCCAACAGAGGAGTCCACGTTTCA